CCGATCATGGCCGCCAAAAGAAACTGGAACCTGTGTGGACACCGTATTAGTGTCGGCATTTCGAGACTTGTTGGTAGAAAGTTTCTGTTTGCACATCTAAGTCTCAATGTCTCCAGGTCTTTACCATTTGATGTGCAGAAAAGTTGGAATTTTCGGGATCTAAATTTGTGCGTAAGTTCACCAGAAGACTTGTATGTATTTCCGAACTATATTCGTTCATGGAAAGTTGAAGCTAGTTGCTTGTGGCAAAGGACTACTCCCTCCGTCCGAAAATACTTGTCATCAAAATGGACAAAAAGGGATGCATCTAGATACATCCCTTTTTATTCATTTTGATGACAAGTATTTCCAGACGGAGGGAGTACTTTGCATGCAATTCCAAATAAAAAATACATTGAGATCAGCCTCAGGAAATATTAAATTTGTTTAGAAAATTGCCTGCGTCTCCAAAGGATCACCAGCGGGCACTGATGGCTGTTGTACTATAATTTACTCGTTTCAGTCCTTTGCCTCAAGGTTGGAGATTCAGAAAAGTATCCTTGTCTGATTTTGGATGGACATTCAGAAGAGTTTTTCTTCTTTCCCTTCAACTTTTGAGTATACATCTTTGCGATATCAAGCGAAATCAGAAGCGCCTATTGTCAGCGGTTCCCTGTAGGAATGAACCCCAATCTGCAGATTTCACACACACGTACACATGTCCGCGGAAAAAAAAGCGCACAAACGAAATGGGCCACATAACTCGGGAAGGCAGGGAGGAAAATGGTTTAGCGGGAACGAGGGCACCTAGGCTCGCCTTCTCTCTCCCTCTCTCGAGGAAAGAAAGGGGAAAAAGGACAGAGACCAATGCCGTCGCCCTCCACCACACCTCCACGCCGCCGGCAACGAACCTCCGCCACCGCTCAACCCACACTTCTCCCTTGGCGCCTCCCCGCACTTCTCCGTACCCGTTTGCGCTCGAGGCTTCAGCGACCGCGGTTTCCTTCCCGTGAGCAGGGCAGGGGAGCGGAGAGGAGCACCGGCGGGCGGCCGCGGCCGAAGAGAGGTCCCGCGCGCATCAGCCATGGGGATTAAGACGACGTTACACTTCTGTCCACCCAGGCATTAAGTCCCTCCAAAAGCGATGCAAGTCCAAGGTTCTTCAACTGCGGTTCAGAATGTGAATCCTCTTCAGGTGAATCTCTGCAATACAAGTACATATTCTTCAGTGTGTAGGCTGTTTTGTTCTGTTACTAGGCGAATCTTATTAGTTTTAAATAGCGCGCTAAGCATCTTAGCGGCGGACCTCTTCCAAATGCTATAGCGGAGACCTTTTGAAAATGTTTGTTCATTTGTTTGGACCAACGTCTCTCTTAGCGCAAGACCTTTTGTAAACGCTACAGCGGAGCTATAGCGGGCTATTTAAAACAGTATGTCTAATTACCTTTGACATCTCCATTACTTTCATATAAATCGTTGTTCCTTTTTTTCAGTAAAAGTGAGAGATAATTTCTTTCTCTGTTGCAAATGTGTTGATTGAGAAGGGATGAACTAGGGATGCTTACAGTTTTGTTATGCCGTGAAAATAGAATGGCACTGGATTGCAACATTATTAGAATAGTGTCCCCCTAAGGGGATTTAACTTCAATAACTACAGTCAAAGTTTGCGTATATGCAGCAGGGAAGGTAAGCATCAAGTCTTACTATTCGATCCCTAACCTCTTGGTAAGTACAGTAGTAACTTAAGTGTGAGAATATTCAGTCTTCTGTTTTGACATCTGCATGCAACTGTTCATACCTTTGACATCTGCATTACTTCCGTACAAATTAATGTTCCCTTTTCAGTAAAAGTGGAAGCTAATATTCTTTCTCTAATGCAGATCAATGTTTTAAATAACGGACTATGAAAAATAGCGGCGGGCCTACAAATCAGCTATAGCGGGCTATTTGTGAAAGCGACCATTTAGCGGCACCCTGCTGAAAAGGCTATAGCTCTATAACGGAGCTATAGCCGGCTATTTAAAACTGTGATGCAGATATGTTGACTGTGAAGGGATGAACAATGTGTAGACTGACACTGGATTGTAACTTGGATACCTACGGTCTTCTTTTTGTGTATGCACCAGGGAAGGTAAGCATCAACGTGGTACATGCTTACATAGTTAGTATTCGATCCCTAACTTCTTGGTAAGTACTGTATCATAACACTCTGTAACTCCAACTGTTCTGCAGGCAAGTGTGTCAATATTCAGTCTTAACTGTCCTTCACATCGCAAAAGGCACATGAATTTCTGCATCATGGTGGTGTTACCCAATCTGTGGTCTAATGGTAAGTTAGTTACACAACAATGCGCATCATTGTAGATGCATCTGCTTTTAATGTTATCAAAAGTAAAAGGGGAGAGTTCTGAATCGCTTTTTCACACATTGTTTGCATTGGTTACTACAACTCTGATAAAGGGCTATCTATGCTTAGAATCCATCAACATTTTCTACCTTAGCCACCCCTCTGTTCCATACTCTCAATGGCTAGCTTTTGAGAATTTCGTATGCGTCTGGGCATGGAAGAGCTAGCCCAAAGTGCAACAGTGTCTCCATATAGCTTTGTGGACACTCTGTTGTTTACGAGGAACTTATTATTACCAGGAACTTAGAAGCGCAACCTCAGAAAATATACGATTAAATGGAAATGATACTCGAAGAGGAAGAGGCAACCAGTGGGCTGGAGAAGGAAGCACTGTATATATACTCCACTCCACTTCCATAGAAGTAGTGTCCTATCCAAAAAGTGGGTTGAAGACAGACCTGTGGAAGATGTGCGGCGACGACACATGTGAGTGCGTCAGACCAGTTTATGCCCCAGATCCGGTATGTGGCTCGGCTGGGGCTTCTGGCTTTTGATGATAGGATTAGGTGAGTAGTCTGGGTATGTGGCCCAGGTAGCACTCCTGCATCATTTGGATAGGAGTAGTGGCATATGTTGCCAAGATGGCGGATTCAGACATATTGTTATAATACTTTGTAAGGTCCTCGAAAATAATCAATAAAGTGGCTGTATGCATCTCCCAGATGCAGAGGCCGGGGGTCATCCTCCTTTAAAAATAAATAAATCCAAAAACCCGCTGCATGCTTTGGTCTTCTGAGAAGAAAGGTAGCAATTACCAGACCAAATCACAAACCCGCTTGCAAAAACCATCATAAAAAGCCTTTTGTGGCTCTTCCTCTACCTCCATAAATTGGTCAGGTGCTGTACTCTTGTAAAGGTTTGACTTAGGAAATACACCTTCGGCTCCCATGACATCATGGTGGAGCCGGAAACCTTCCAAAGAAATCACTCTTCATAGTGGTCCCCTGGTGTCTTCAGCTTTATTAGCTTCCCAAGTTCCAACTTAGCCAAACTCGAACCACCATATTTTGAAGTATAAAGTTACATACATGAACAAGAAAATAGAGGAAACTATATACGGTCAACAACGATGGTATATACTTGAACAAGAAAATGAAGGAAAACAAAAAGCAAAACCTACAAATAAATGAGATAGTAAATTCTAAGAACATCAATGGTTTGACGTTTCACGAGTTTATGCTTGGCCCCTCCTCCTTCTTTCGGGCTTGGGACCGGCTATGCAAAGATATTAGCATAGGCGGAGTTACCCCACCCCTCGACGAAGAAACACACAAAAAGGAGGAACACATGAAGCACACACCTGCGCCTTAATCAATACACAAAAAAGGACAGACACCCCCGGCAAACCCACACACACACAAAATGGCACGAGAACCCAACTTTCTTTTGGAGTTTTTTCTACCTAAGTAGACAACCAAGCAACAGACTACTAGACTCCACAAAGTAAACACTTTTGTGTTTTGTTATTTTCAATTTACTGCACTACAGAAGACAGTAGAACAACCAATTTTTTTGTGCTTTTATCATTTGCTACAAAAGTAAAAATAGCAAATAGACAATTTTTTTGCTTTTGTGTGATTTTTTAATTTGCTACAAAAGCAAACAAAGAAAAGTATTTTTTTTGTGATTTTTTCCTTTCCTTCGAAGGACAATAAATAGACCAAACAAACGGAAAGCTCTTGCTATATTTTTCTTTCTCCGTGACCAAACAACCTACATATATGACATAACTCTGAGATAACATATAAGCGTGGAGTATGCATGGTTATTATTTGAAATGAGAAGAAAGATATATGTAGCACGCATGCAGATTGGTAATTGCTTCTTTTTCTGTTGATTGAAAACTGCTGTGATTTACTCTAGAGAGAAAGGAAAGACAAGTTGCCAATTAAGTATACTAGTACTTAGACAGGGAGCGTATGTACCTCGATTCCGGCAGGTGGAGATACACGGCTAGCTTAGCTCAATCAGTTTGGGAATCTGGAAAAGGGGGAAAAGGAGATCGTGAGATACACGGCTAGCTGTCCTTTGAGATCAGCACTAATGAGTAAATAAATATACACTTAGTTACCTTCGACTCCAATCCCTCATATCCTGTTGTATGATACGATGCCTAAGGCAGTTGGGAAGCACATCAATTGCACGCTTCGCTGCTTCAGCAGCATTCTCGAAATCCGCAAGAGGGGCCCATAAATAGACTCTGACTTCCTGAAGGAATGGGAGCTTCCCTAAGCTACTAAAGTCAAATTCAAAGCTAATGTCATCATCATTGGCATGTGCTACGACTTGGAAATCAAGAGATTCAAGGACCGGCATATCTCCCTCTTGAAATGAGCAAGCCATTGCTTGTGTCTTGAGGAACCTCAGCTTGGGGAATGCACCTGCACCGCCCATGGTGTCATGGTGGAGAGCTGACCATGTGTCCAGCTCAAGGGCAACAAGCTCTCGGAAACTTCCAAAGACCTCCAGGTCTGGACTGTATACATTTAGTTGTAAATGGGAGAGGTTGGGAAGAAGCGAGGGATTGATCGTTGCCACCAGCCCTGGTTCTTGGTAGGCCATGCGCAGCACACGGAGTTGTGGAGGGAGGATGTTCCATTCCCAGGGGTTGTCGTCATGATTGGAGAATCTGTACCCGAGAAAAAAAATCAATGTCTATGACTTGGATCTTGCTCAGTTTGGCTACAGACTCCGCCCAACTATTCATAGCCATATTACCACCTACAGTCACACTTTTAGAAATGTGGAGCTTCCTCAACTCTGTCAGCTTACCCAGTTCTGTCACAAAGTTTGAGTGCACACCAACTTTTCCTAGGCATAGCTCTTCTAGACATGTCAAATCTCTGATCCAGTATGGCACTTCAATCTTTGTTTCGCTGATGTTCAAGCACTTGAGTTGACTTAGTAGACGAATACTCTCTGGAAGTTCACTTCTGCTATTTCCAGCCAAGTCCAATACCATCAAGAACTTTAGATATCCTATTTCCTTTGGGAGCTCATGGATACCCATGCTTGTTAGTTTGAGGTGCCTCAAGTGAACTAACTTCCCAACATGCTCAAGACAATTAGGATAGAGCGAATTAGTGGGGCCATCCAAAGCTAGGACACGCGAAACATCAAAGCATGAAAGTGATGGCAACATCTCAAGACTGCACATGGCATTAAGTGACCTTGCTTGTAATGTGGATGTGCTAGCCAGAGGTCGGACCCTATGATGAACAACTAGCCTACGAGAGTTGCAATGTGAAGTTGTATATTGCTCGTCACTATCCAATAAAGTAACAAAGTTTTCTTCCTTTGACAATAGGCATATCATATCAAGCATTATGTCATGGATACGACAACCAGTTATGATTCCATGATAAGGTATTTCTACCGGCATTATCATGCTTTTGTTCACCAACTCGTTGAAGTACCTCTCACCAATCTCAAATAGTCTTAACCCTGGTTCCTCATGGATAAAACCTTCGGCGACCCATTTCCATATCAAACTATCTTTCCCAATCAGATGATCTTCAGGATATATGCTCAAATACAATAAGCAAGTCTTTAGGTGACAAGGAAGATCATAATAGCTAAATCGAAGTATTTTTCTTGTGTTTTCCACATCTTCATTCTCTTCATGCCCAAAACCGATTGAGGTGTATACCTTAGACCAAAGCTCCACCGGTTTACTGACGAGCAAACTAGCGATTGTGATTATAGCCAATGGTACACCACCACATATATGTAAAATTTTATTGTATACCTCTGACGGTAGATGATTAGGCTGATTTATTTTATCCCCAAATAATCTTCTATGAAATAAATCCTCCGATAAATCACGAGAAAGTGGTTGTAGCCTGTATACTTTACCAGTTCTTGCGGCAACTTCAAGTATACGAGTAGTTGTGACGATCCTGCTTCCACAATTAGTACACACCAAAGCGGTCTTGACCAGTTCCCATGTTTTTTTATCCCATATGTCATCAATGACGATTAAGTATCTGTCATCACCATCCATAATGCAAAAGATACCATAAATTAGGGAAATTATTTTACAAGGCATCTAAGTATGTAAATTTTTTTTATAAGAGGATGCATGGATGTCAGCCACCACCTCGTTACGGAATCTAAAGTTTATCTACGAGAAGTCTATTTCTGATTAAGAAAATTTCGCAATCCAGATACTTCCATCTATTAGATATATTTTTGAATTGACATCCACTAGTAGAAAAAGAGGCTTCCGTCCAGCCTCATTAGTCGCGAAACTGTAGGAACCGCGACTAATGAAGTCTTCAGTCGCGGTTCGGCAGATGAACCGCGACCAAATGCCTGGGCCCAGGGGCGCTCGCGGGCTTTAGTCGCGGTTGGCCAGGCCAACCGCGACTAAAGGTGCCCAAAGGCCTTTAGTCGCGGTTGTCCTGGCAAACCGCGACTAAAGCTCGCGGGCTCTAGTCGCGGTTTGCCAGGCCAACCGCGACTAATGGTGCGCAAAGGCCTTTAGTCGCGGTTGGCCAGACCAACCGCAACTAAAGCCCCTCCCCTATATATACCCATCCGGCAGCCAACACTTAGCCATTTGGAGCCATTCTCTTCACAAGTGGGTGTAGGTTTGTTTTTGGTTCCTCTTATGCACATAAGGTGTTTGATGAAATGCCCCAAGAGCATGAAACAAACATGACATGAAGTGTTGGAGCCACACTCCTCGATCGCGGTTAGCAACTTGATGAACCTTTGATGTGTCATTGATAAAATATGCATGTGTGCAGTTCATTGTTTAATTTATATTATTTGTAGCTAGTTAGTTTAACAAATGCATGATGGTTAATTATATATTTTATATTATAATAATGCAGATGAATCGGCAATGGATGTACGGTAACCGACTCTCCGGCGAGTTCACTACGGGTTTGAAAGATTTCCTCGTAGTGGCTAATGCGAACAAGCAGGGGGGTTTTGTTATCTGTCCATGTGTTATCTGTAAGAATCAGAAGGGTTACTCTTCCTCAAGAGATGTTCACATGCATCTGCTTCGGCACGGTTTCATGCCAAGCTATAATTGTTGGACCAAGCATGGAGAAAGAGGGGTTATAATGGAAGAAGATGAAGAAGGGGATGATTTCATCGATGAAATCTATCTTGCTCATTTCGGTGATACTTTCATGGAGGATGCTGAAGGTGAAGGGGAAGGTGAAGAAGAGGCACGTGATGATCCCGTTGATGATCTTGGTCGGACCATTGCTGATGCACGGAGACGCTGCGAAACTGAAAAGGAGAGGGAGAATTTGGATCGCATGTTAGAGGATCACAGAAAGGCGCTGTACCCCGGATGCGATGATGGTCTGAAAAAGCTGGGCTGCATACTGGATTTGCTGAAATGGAAGGCAGAGGCAGGTGTAGCTGACTCGGCATTTGAAAACTTGCTGAAAATGTTGAAGAATATGTTTCCAAAGGATAACGAGTTGCCCGCCAGTACGTACGAAGCAAAGAAGGTTGTCTGCCCTCTAGGTTTAGAGGTTCTGAAGATACATGCATGCATCAACGACTGCATCCTCTACCGCGGTGAATACGAGAATTTGAATGAATGCCCGGTATGCACTGCATTGCGTTATAAGATCAGAGGCGATGACCCTGGTGACGATGTTGAGGGCCAGAAACCCAGGAAGAGGGTTCCCGCCAAGGTGATGTGGTATGCTCCTATAATACCACGGTTGAAACGTCTGTTCAGGAACAAAGAGCATGCCAAGTTGTTGCGATGGCACAAAGAGGACCGTAAGTCGGACGGGGAGTTGAGACACATCGCAGATGGAACGCAATGGAGAAAGATCGACAGATGGTTCAAAGATTTTGCAGCTGACGCAAGGAACATAAGATTTGCTCTAAGTACGGATGGCATGAATCCTTTTGGCGAGCAGAGCTCCAGCCATAGCACCTGGCCCGTGACTCTATGCATCTACAACCTTCCTCCTTGGTTGTGCATGAAGCGGAAGTTCATTATGATGCCAGTGCTCATCCAAGGTCCGAAGCAACCCGGCAACGACATCGATGTGTACCTAAGGCCATTAGTTGATGAACTTTTACAGCTGTGGGGTGGTGTCTGTGTGTGGGATGAGCACAAACAAGAGGAATTTGACCTACGAGCGTTGCTTTTCGTAACCATCAACGATTGGCCTGCTCTTAGTAACCTTTCGGGACTGTCAAATAAGGGATACAATGCATGCACGCACTGCTTACATGAGACTGAAAGTGTACATTTGCCAAATTGTAAGAAGAACGTGTACCTTGGGCATTGTCGATTTCTTCCGAAAATTCATCCAGTAAGAAAGAAAGGCAAGCATTACAACGGCAAGGCAGATCACCGGCCGAAGCCTGCGGAACGCACTGGTGCTGAGGTATTTGATATGGTCAAGGATTTGAAAGTCATCTTTGGAAAGGGTCCTGGCGGACAATCAGTTCCGAAGGGAGCTGACGGGCACGCAGCCATGTGGAAGAAGAAATCTATATTCTGGGAGCTAGAATATTGGAAAGTCCTAGATGTCCGCTCTGCAATCAACGTGATGCACGTTACGAAGAATATTTGCGTGAACCTCCTAAGCTTCTTGGGCGTGTATGGGAAGACAAATGATACAAAGGAAGCACGGCAGGACCAGCAACGTTTGAAAGACCCTGATGACCGGCATCCGGAATGGTTTCAAGGTCGTGCCAGCTACGCTCTGACCAAAGAAGAGAAGGTCATCTTTTCTACACAATATGTTCCCCTTCGAGAGGTTCATGGGAGTATTAAAGAAATATGTTCGTAACCGTGCTAGGCCAGAAGGAAGCATCGCCAAGGGCTATGGAAATGAGGAGGTAATTGCGTTTTGTGTTGACTTTGTTCCTGACCTTAAGCCGATTGGTCTTCCTCGATCGCGGCACGAGGGGAGACTAAGTGGAAAAGGCACGATCGGAAGGAAATCAACGATATGTATGGACGGCCATTCTCTGACTGAAGCACACCACACTGTACTGACCAATTCCAGCTTGGTGGCTCCGTACTTTGAGAAACACAAGAATATTTTACGCTCGGAGAACCCGGGGAAGCCTGAATCCTGGATTAGGAAGGCCCACATGGAGACTTTCGGCAGTTGGTTGAGAAAACATTTAATGAATGACAATGATGTTGTAGATCAGCTGTACATGTTGGCCAAGACACCATCTTCGACTATAACGACTTTCCAAGGGTACGAGATAAATGGGAATACATTTTACACGATTGCCCAAGATAAAAAGAGCACCAACCAAAACAGTGGTGTCCGCTTTGATGCAGCAACCGAGAATGGGCAAAAGGTCACATATTATGGTTACATAGAGGAGATATGGGAACTTGACTATGGACCCTCCTTTAAGGTCCCTTTGTTCCGGTGCAAATGGTTCAAGCTAACAGGAGGTGGGGTAAAGGTGGACCAGCAATACGGAATGACAATGGTGGATTTCAACAATCTTGGTTACCTTGACGAACCATTCGTCCTAGCGAAAGATGTCGCTCAGGTTTTCTATGTGAAGGACATGAGTAGCAAACCGAGGAAACGGAAAGATAAGAAAACGATCAGTGCATCATGCGATGATCCAAAGCGCCACATTGTTCTTTCAGGGAAAAGAAACATCGTGGGAGTGGAGGACAAGACAGACATGTCAGAAGATTATAATATGTTTGCTGAAATTCCGCCCTTCAAAGTGAACACCGACCCAAGCATTAAGTTAAATGATGAGGATGCTCCATGGATACGGCACAATCGTAAGCAAGCAGGGACACAAGGGAAGAAATGATGTGTAATAATTTATTGTATCAAACCTTTTGTCAAACCTTCAAGGGGTTTTAAAATGAATTAGTTTTATTTTTCTGATTTTTTTTGATATATAATTGTATTTTTAAGATTTTAAAATGAATTAGTTTTATTTTTCTGATTTTAAAAGGAAAAAGGAAATGGATGTGATGAAGAAAACCATGAGTGTACTAGTAGCCGAAAGAGATGCAGCTCGGGTGCAGCATGAAGATCATCCAGCGGATCTCGGAAGCCAGCAGCGGAGAAGCAGCGTGGCTTCCACGGAGGCCCCACCGGCTGGTGCAGATGCACCGACGATCGAAATTACTGCACCGGAGCCTCTGGTGGTCCAAATTACTGCACCGGAGCCTCTGGTGGTCGAAATTACTTCACCGGAGCATCCTCGCTACCCCGTGGACGATATAAAGGAGATGAAAGAATGTCATCTGTATTATCCTATCGGGAACATGTCCATGAAGGTAGCCATCGGCAGTGCTTTACCATGTTTACCTGGAGCACTCCACCACAACAACCCCATTCAAGATGGCTATGCTCGTGTCACGGTGGAGGACATAGTCCAAGGGTTTGAGGACCTGGAGATTGACATTGCTACACCTGAAGGGGAGAAAAGACTTGGAGATGTCAAGCGCCATTTCATTCTATGGCAAAAGAAGTTTATCAAGTTTCCAGGCGAGGCGCCAAGGACAACAAGTCCACCCCCCTACGGTGGTGGTGGTGGCGGTGGCGGCGGCGGTGGTGGTGGTGGTGGTGGCGGTTCACCTACACCTCCGTCACGTCAGCCGACACCGCCCCCCAGTCCACAACGTCCGGCGGGTGATCAGCCGCCGCCCCCCAGTCCTCGTCCGGCGGGTGATCAGCCGCCGCCCCCCAGTCCTCGTCCGGCGGGTGATCAGACGCCGCCCCCCAATCCACCTCCGGCAAAGAAGCAGAAGCAGTCCTGGATTATTAACCCGGACCCTTATGTACCTAAGACCACAAAGGTACCGGAGCCATCACTGAAGCCTCTCCCCACAAGGCCTTGGGAACGTAGTGCCGAGGAAGTCGACGCGGCCGCGGCTGCTGATTTGGAGAAATGAAAGGCGGACTGCAAGAAGAAAAGAGAGCCCGAGCCCAAGCCAGTATTTTCTGATGAGCAAAAGAAGTGGGCTAAGTCATTTTTGAGCACACCGTCCCAAGCCGCGAAGAATCTGCCTAACGACTATGCACGTGAACTTCGCAGGCAGGCACTCATGTTCAAGGAGAACAAAGAGCGGGAGAAGGCCGAAAGTAAAAAAAGCGGGAAACAAGTTGCCCAGCTCGGGGAACAAAGTAAACAATCGATTGCCCCGCTTATAGTGGAAGCCTTCTGTCCGGATGCCCCCGAGATCATACAAGCTGCGGCAGCACAGGGATTGACTGTAACGAGTGCCAGAGAACAAGCGGCCAACTTAGGTATTACTCTTCGTGAACTATTAGGCCTTGATGAGGCGCCAGTGAAGGAGGTAGTAATTACATATGTCAAGAATGGGCCTCTCGTCGAGCCTGCGCAGGAAAAGGATCTACCTCCACAAATGAAAGGTCTGCTGAAATGGTACAAGGGTTACATAAAAAATAAAAACGCCAAAGAATATATTTATGCGGAAGTTAGACAAGAGCATCACTTCAAACATTACTATGTACAAATTGAACTGAGTGAATTGTTCCAGCTTTTCAATCTGCGCGAGCTCGATAAATCTATCATCAGTTGCTACGTTCTGTAAGTGATTTATTAATTTCTACCCCATCTCGTTCATATTGCCTGCACTATATATATGTCCTAACTATATTGTTGTGTCCGCTATTATACATGCAGAATGAAGATTAAGGAATGCAGAGTAAGGAACATCCATGATGTTGGGTTCATTGACCCACACATCGTTAATGGACATGTGTTGGAGCGTTACCCCGCCGACGTGGAGGCAGACCTGTGGCAGTTTCTTACAAAGCAGGAACTCAAAAGTGATATTCTATTTCCTTACCATTTTGAGTGAGTGTTTCTGTCTTGAGCACATTCTCTTTTGTTTACTCCATGCATGGTATGTGGCCGGCTAATCGATGAGTTATGCATGACGTACTGTGCATGTATCGTGTCCGCAGGTTCCACTGGATTCTGCTAGTAATTAAAGTTAACACCTCAGAATGTCTCGTCCACGACTCTGTGAATATGGATCCAAAGCTTTGGGGCGGCATGAGAAGAATGCTGCAGAAGTAATTATTTTCATTCATTTGCGCTCTATATCGATCGGCCTATTTCGTTCATTTCCTAATATCAAGTAACTAATTAATAACTCTCTTGTTCATTCAATTTTCTTTGCCTCGTAGGGTTTGGAGACGGTTCGTAGATACAAAGGTCGGTGAATTCAAAAAAGAGCTAGAATTCAAAATGTTAAAGGCTAAGAATGCTGGGGATATTCAGCCACCGGAGACCAATCTATGTGGATACTATGTCTGTGAGATGATCCGGAGATACACCTCTGAGCGGGTTCCGAGTGATACCAATGCTAAGAGGAATAACCTCCGGTGGATGCTTAGTCCAGAAGCTCGCTTCCGACCACTTCAAGAGGAACTAGCTGGATGGTTCAGCAGGGAAGTCCTCCATCCTAAAGGAGAACACTATTACGAGGACGTAGAACTTTATATGCATTAAATCATGTATGGAAACTTGTTCAAAATTGTATATGGTCATCCGATGATATTGAATATATATTGTATATTCCTCTTGAATTCTTTTCGGTTCTAATTTCAAATTTATTTGAAATTGTACATTCATATGCATGTATGTAGTACCGTAGAATATATGAAACTCCTTCAAAATTAAAATAAAGCACAAAAGAAATAAAACAATACAAATTAAACAGAAAACAGGTTTAAGGGGGGAGGTTTAGGGGGGGGCTAAAACCCTAAACCTGCGGCGGCCTTTAGTCGCGGTTGGCCAGAAGAACCGCGACTAAAGGTCCTCCGCCCCGACGGCCACCTGGCGCCCACGTGGACGGGCCTTTAGTCGCGGTTCTTAAGCAACCGCGACTAAAGGGGGGGGCCTTTAGTCGCGCCCGGTCGGTCGCGGTTGCGCAACCGCGACTAATGGCAGTTGCGAACCGCGACCAAAGGCCTTTTTTCCACCAGTGATCTATCGTCAGAAGTTCAAGAACATATGAATGTGGGGGAACATTCGACACTAAGTTCCAACCCAAATTATAGCAAAGAAGGTAGGCAAAAATGATATTATACATTATTCCACGCAAAAAAATACAGTTTTTGAAAATATACAAGAATGACCATAGTCCATCCGAACCCTTCTATAAGAGATGTCTCAAAACATAATTTATCACTCATTTCGTCGCAGGTGTGACGCTATTTTTGCCCCCATTTACTAGTTGATGTGTAGTACTCCCTCCGTCCTAAAATAAGTCTCTCAAGCTTAGTACAAATTTGTACTAGAGTTAGTACAAAGTTGAGACAGTTATTTTGGGACGGAGGGAGTATGAAACTACATAGTACTCCCTAAGTATTTCGGTACAGAGGTAGTAGATGCATACCTCTTTATCTCATAGTTCATCAATCTGCTGCCTTTCATCCAACTCCTCATTTACTACTTGAACTATATGAAATTAAATAATAGGGTGTGTACCTCTTTTTCTCAAGTAATACTCGGATTTCATCAATCAGTTGCCTTTCATCCAAACCAGGGTACATTTTCTTGCCAATTCCATAGAGAATGTCGTTGAGAAGTTTCTTCACGCTAGGTTGGCGTCCTACCGGAACAAAAGCACTGCAATCGAACTGTGTTTTGAGCTTATCATATACTGCTTTGGCAAGAGTTGTCTTGCCAAGGCCTCCGAATCCAAAAATAGAGATTATCTTTAGTTGCTTGGACACATCACCATCCCCGTCACTCAGCATCTTGGTTAGCTCGTTCAATGAATCATCAATGCCAACGAGCTCTTTTTGGTCCTTGTACAGAGCCAACAGGCGAGGGTCGGCCGTGGTTGCAACATCTGGATTAGCAATCACCTCGTGGACCCTGTACCGATCACGCCGGTCAGCCGCCTCCTGAACACTGACCTTGATAATTTTGATCTCGTTGCCGATGGCATGGCGTTTCATAAACTTGGTGAACAAGCCGCCCATCTTCTTCATGAGTTGTTTGAGCATGTGTGGCTTGTTTTCAGGCTCAGGGCCGTCGACATGCAGCAGGAACTTGTCGATGATATCCTCTATTATGTATGAAAGGTCCCTTACCTCGTTGGCCCAGAGCTTGACTTGTTCGTCGAGCTGGTCCCACGGCACGTCCCCGACCTTGCTGAGGGCGGCGTGCATGCTCTCCAGCTCTCTCTCGAGATGTTTGATATCATCCTTGACGCTTCTCTGCAGTTTGTACTCCTCCTTAAGGAGTTCGCCGAGCTTGGGGAGAAGGCTGCCCATGGCACCTGTTGCGTGGTCCATTGCTTGCTCTTAGCAGCTGGGTTTTTGGGTGCAATAATGTTTCCTTTCCTTTCGCGATGATGGAACGAGTGGCTAGCTAGAGTGTTTATAGATAAGATAGTACAGGCTACAGATAGATAAGCCAGCTACTCGAATTTGTGTGGACACTGGAAGGTTCATGCTAGTTGCTGGAATTTGTGTGCACGCTATTCAAGGGCCTCTTTTGCTCAAAGGTATATTCCTACATTTTTGTTAGAAAAATTGCCTGCATTTTTCCTGCGATGTAACCATTGAACATCTAAATCACTACCATACGACCTATCAAAATCAGCAGCAGCTGCTGTCAGCTATTCCGCTATAGGAATGAATCCGATTTGCAGATTTTATCAGCCTGCAGAACATATAACGCAAATCTTTCAGGAGCATTCTCTATCAGAGAACCTTTTACTCTTCAATTATACAGCTCTGCTTACAAACTAATAACACTTTCTACTTTGGTCTTTTCTATGCTCCAGCAGACTTTTTTCCTCCCGACTCGCTTCTTCCCCTTTCTGGTCTCGTTGCTGTGATGGTAGCATCATTTTGGTTGTAATAAGGTTGTTTCGAGTGATGTGTTTCAGTTAAGCAATTCATGGAAAGGGGTAAGGTCCGGTTGAAATGAAAAAAGCAGAATTTTTTTAAAGGCTTCCAGCAGACTATCGCAACGGCTTTTGAGGATCTCATATGCGTCTGGACATGGAAGAGCTATGATGGATCACCAGCCCAACCTAGCAATGTCTCCATAGCTTTGTCGATAGGCATCTCAATCTATTCAACGGACTACGCGTCTACGCTGTTCATCTGGAGGGACGCGGACAATCTCAGTGACGGTGCTGAAGACAAAGTTTGTGCGGGTACTCGGTGAGATCACAACGATGGAATCGTCGTGCCCCAAAAGCAACGGAGGAGAACATCAATGCTCCTCCATTACCAGGCACCAATGGCAGCAATACAGTTTGCCCCTTGACTCAAGGTAGGAAATTCAGAAGACAAGCGGCGGCTGGTATCATCTATCACGATTGTCTATACCGTTGACCCGCTGTAGGAATGAAAACTGATTCAAAGCCACCTGTTGTATTCGGTTTTTGGAGAGCTGGCGTGTACATACGTAAGTTCTAGCTACTCAATAAAGCAGCATACTCACGGGTCACCCGAACGATAACCCACTTAGATAATCGTCTACTGATGACTGAACTTGTATGCTTAGATAACCCACTTAGATATGACCAGATATCACCATGCCTGTGTACTTAGATAATCGTTTACTGATGACTGAACTTGTATACTCGCGGGTCACCCGAACGATAACCCACCTTAACTTTGTTTGTCTAACCAATGGCTATTTTTGGCTTTACTGTGATGCATGTGTGCGATCTGCAAACCAATTGGTCCATCTCAGAATGGTCACACCCGTCTTATATGTGTATTTATGGAATGTTTTGTTGTATAGTTGTTTGCTACTTATAGATAATGACCTTTCACTAAATTAAAAATATAATGCTAGCTTATGTGGACCATGTTCGAATTACGACTTCTTTGTCCAGCTCCAAGAAAAAACAATGATCTATATTTGTGCAATTCTGAAAGTACTCTATAATCTTGGAATTCTGAAAGTACTCTATAATCTTGGTCAAACATACACAAGTTTGACTTGCACGAAAATTGATACACCTTATATTCTACTGCCTTTGTTCCATAATGTAAGACTTTTTTTTGACACTAGCGGCCGACTCGGGCGCCGCCACCAACCCAAGGCCCCATCGGGCCTTCCTTCTCGAGTACCGAGTCTCAATTTTTAGGATGAAAACCCAAGGTCCGGTCTTCATTGGTTGTATCTTGTTGGGAATTAGCACACAAATGCACTTGTGGTTAACTGAAAACTGTAGCGGAAACAAGTAATCTCAGCACCAGATCCTGTACTAATTCAAGGATCGTTGCTTAGCACGGAAGGAAACATATGCAGCAGCATATATGGAGGCAGAAAATGTTACTCAGCAGGCAAGATACTCCTCAGCCTAGTGTCTTGTGGTAGGAGTAAGTTTTCCTGACAGCATCAAGCATCAACAAAGAGACACCAGATTTTTTACGTGGAAAACCCCCCAACTTGAGGGGAAAAACCACCGGCCGAAGCCACCCAAATCCTCTTCCACTATTATCAAATATGGGATACAACAAGTTCTTCTCTAGACAGCACTAGAGGATCTCATACATCAAGATTTCAGAATCTTGGATGAACACAACAGGATTTGGGGCTTAAGAACTAGGGATTGGAACAATCTCACCAAAGATGATGGAACCAAAGCTTGAAGGAGACAAGGTAGTGGATCTGGACCATCACAACCTTGGGGAGGAGCTCCCTTTGCTTCTTCCTTCAATCTTCCTCTTCTTCCCTTGCTCTCTTGGTTTTCTCTCTTCTTCTCTCTTGGAGGATGAACAGATTTTCGTCACTCTTGGTGGTGGCTGCTGGATGGAGGGTAAAGCATCCCCATCAACACATGTGCAAAGTCCAAAATGACCCTAGGTCATAACCCTAATGGGTAGTGGGCTTATGCACCTCTTTGGGCTGCCTAAAAGGCCTCAAATGGCCATCTCCTCACAGCCCACATGAGGAGGATATCCCAACAAATCTCCCCCTCCGACTCATGAGGGGGGCACCGCCATGCCCGCTACCTTGCAACATGCTTGTAGCTTCTCATTTGGTAATGTCTTGGTCATCATATCTGAACCATTGTCGTCGGTATGGATTTTCTCAAGTTTCAGCAACTTGGAACTCACAACATCTCGAATCCAATGGTACCTCACATCAATGTGCTTGGTTCGAGAGTGATAGCTTAAATTCTTGTCAAGATGAAGAGCACTCTGACTGTCACAAGACAGAACATACTTCTCTTGCTTCATGCCGAGCTCTTGCAAGAAGTTCTTCATCCACAAAACTTCCTTGCCAACATCAACTGCTGCAATGTACTCAGCTTATGTAGTTGATGTAGAAACACATTTCTGCAATCTTGATTGCCATGACACTGCTCCCCCTGCATAAGTCAGCAGGTATCTGGATGTGGACTTCCGACGATCCTTGTCACCTGCATAATCTGCATCTGTATAGCCTTGCAATACAGGATCACCATTTCCAAAGCATAGACAAGATGTAGAAGTACCCTTGATATACCTGAGAATCCACTTCACTGCTTCCCAGTGAGTTTTATCTGGATTTGTCATGAACCGGCTAACAACTCCAACTGCATAGGCAATGTCAGGCTTAGTGCATACCATGGCATACATCAAACTGCCCATAGCAGATTGGTAAGGTACTTTCCTCATTTCTTCTTTCTCCTTCTTGCTTGTAGACATTGTTTAGAATTTAGTTTGTGATGGCCTGCAAGTGGAGAGATAACAGATTTTGCATCTTTCATATTAAACCTTTCAAGTACCTTCTCAATGTATCTTTCCTGTGAGAGCCAAAGCAGCTTCTTTGATCTATCACGGGAGATCTTTATGCCAAGTATTTGCTTAGCTGTTCTTAAATCCTTCATGGCAAATGATTTACTCAATGCCTTTTTGAGGAGAGCAATCCTCTTTGTGCCATTTCCAACAATCAGCATATCATCAACATACAACAAGAGAATAATGAAGTCACCCTCGGCATACCTCTTCATAAAGACACAATGATCAGGTTGTGCTTTATGGTAACTGTTGGGGATATTACCACTGGGCGTGAACCGGCCTACCTGGGCCGGGTTAACTTCATTAGTAGTGTAAAGGTGATTAAGCAGATGAAGGCCCAAGGCCTGTAGTCGGTTTAAAACCTGTAGCCGTAAACCGGCTTGGTATGTAAACTTGTATTGTAAGTTAGGAATAGAGAGAGACCAACCGAGATACGAGTATGAACCGGTGTGGGACTCTGTGGACCGACGGGTGTCACCCGTGTATATAAGGGGACGACCCGGCGGCGGTTCAAAGACAGATAACAACAACTCGAGCCTAGGCGAAGCTTGTTTGCTCCCTAGCCCTCGAAACCACATCAATTCCATCACAACTAGACGTAGGCTTTTACCTTCATTGAAGGGGCCGAACTAGTATAAACCCTTGTGTCTTTGTGTCCACTTTAACCCCTTCAAGTTAACCCGTAGCGATGGCTCCACGACTAAGTCCTTTCATGAGGACATCTGCCGTGACAAATCCACGACAGTTGGCGCCCACCGTGGGGCTATCGCACGATGGTTTGATGATCTTGGAGGGAAAGCTCAAAGGACTCGAAGGCTATGCTGTGGGCCGGATGACCAAAACTCATCGCGGCAAGCTCTACATCGACGATGCAGGATGGGGTCCTGAAGCCGGCTCGATCGAGTACGGGTACCGGGTCCCCTTTGGTGGCATACTCGTTTTTATCGGCAAGATTGGTGAGCCTGGGCCCGAGCCGGACATCCGCACCGACCTCGTTGAGACGGCTCAGCGTGCGAGATCTACCTAGGTTAAACCGGCCATGAGGCGTGCCTTCGTGGGAGTCATCCACGGAGGAGAGCATGGGAACGAGTCAGAATATGGTAGCGAGACCGTCGTCTATTCCGGCGACGAGTCCTCAACCGGCGAGACAGAATCATTGTATCAGTTGCAAGACAACCAGATTAGGGGCTGTTCCGATGGCGACAGTATTCCGGACCCCCCTGAGCAGATCAACCGGGTTGGGATATTCATGGCTGGTACACAAGCGGCGAATCACTCCTCGACCGCAGCAGCAATGCTCTCAGGATCAGCAGCGGCAGCAGCAGCAGGGGCAGGAGGCCTTGTGCGCCCGCCGGTTCAAGTTCTGTCTGACCTGTTTGATGCACTAGCTGTACTGATGGCAGAGGCCAATCCGGCGGATCAGGAGGCCCATGATGCAGAGATTGCAAAAGTGAGAGAGCAGATCGCACAAGCCAAAGCCGACTTGGCAGCAGAGAATGACAGGATGGCCGCAGAGCGGGCCGCTTTGGACGCCCATGCCT